CATGCGGCCAGAGCACTGAGAGCATCCAGAGCTTACTGGGAGACAAGTGGGAGACAAGGGGGAGACAAGTGGGAGACAAGGGTGAAATCATGCGGCCAGGAACACAAGCCCGGAGACAAACTCAAAGTCATCCGGCCCGAGCATGCACCCCATTAAAAGGAGTCAGAACCCCTCACAGGTAAACCTGTTTGGGGAATTAAGCAGACCATGTGACCATGACTACCGACCTCAACAGAAGGTTCAAGAACTCAATGATATGGTGATGATTTGCGTCTTTTGTTTTCGCATGTTGTAGTGCACCAGAAGACGGCAAGTCTTGCCTACGGCCGACAGCATGTGTCTTGTCTCAGCTCAATCGATGCCTTTTCTTTTGCACTTCGTCCTCAGCTTTTGAGGAGGCCAAGTCCCGTTTGGCTCGTGCATTCCGGCTTCGGGTCATGGAGGCCGGGACATGAGCTCGCCGACGATCGGCTTCATTCCGAGACTGATGCGGTGCGTTTGTTTTCATTTTCGGTACGTCGGTACTTGGTCGGGACGTCCGTTTTGGCGGTGGAGCAAGGGCATCATAGTTACAGCATGGTTAGACGGTTTTTGGGGATTGCTTTTGTGGCTGAAGTCCGTCCCTGACTTGTCATCTTCCAAACATGCCTGGTATCACTTCTGAAAAGCGATTTGTTGAAGCAAAAACGTTGGGATGACTTGCAGATTCAAAGAGTCATGCCATTCAATACGATTTTTGAACCACCCCACGCCAATTCCGCCTTGAGGGGTTGCACTCGCTCAAGAGGATTGCGCTAGCTAGGGCCTAGGGGGTGCTTTGCTTTGGAATCTTGAGGTTGATTCGCACCAACACCCCAGATCGTTTGACTTGAACTCGATGAGCCTAATAATCTGAATAGAGCATGCAGGTGTCCGTTGTCTCCTGTGCAGGGCTAGCAAACCATTTTTCTGTGGGCCTCCTGTGAGTGAGCTTGCTAGTTAGCAAGGTTTGGCACAAATCCGCTCTTCTCAGCTTCTTCTTTGGTACCTTTGACATTTTTGACTGCCATCGCCGCGTCGCCCACATTCGATTTCAATCAGCCTGAAGATTTGACATGTGACTGGTCCACCAGATTAATGACTTCTGTGACCGCTAGATGAATCTGTCAATCTGAAATGCTTGTACTAGAGATATTGAGGTGTGCTGGTTAATGTTGAAGGTTTTGTCCGAATTGCAGTGGGGTGGCGAAGTCACCTTCATTCAGGATTTGGATGCTGAGAAGCGGCAGGTGCAAGATGCAGATCTGTTAGCCACTGTTCGTCAGACGGGCTTTTGCATTCTGTGCAGCAGTAACGCATAGATGAATTATAGATGCCTTTGAGATCCTTTGAGTAGATGCCTTTGATTGCCTCGAGATGACATTAATTTTTGGGTGGAGTTGAAACAACTTTCAGTGTTTTTGCTTCAAAATACCACACTTGCCACGTTGTGGCATGTTCAACATGCTGACAAGCTGCCCGAATGGTTGCTGAGATGCAATGCTGGCATTTGCTGGCATTTCAAGATCAGGTGGAAGAGGTTGGCTTAGCGCTCGACGTGCTCATGAGGAACTGGTTGGCTTAGCTTTTTGCGCTGGACGCACCCGTTTTTGGGTGGTCGACCCATGTGTGTCTTGTGTCTTGCAGGAGGATCAGTCTGAGTCTCGAAATGTGAGACCGAAAAACAAAGACGGCCAAAGCGCCGTTTAAAGGGAATCGTGTCAGGAGTTTGTGGTAGGAATCTGTAGGATTTGTAGGAATTGTAGGGATAGTGGAAGCTGTATATACAGTAGTAGGCTGCAGTCAGGATTGAAACTATTGTGTACCTATGGCATCTGCAAAGATGAGTTGCTAGCCTCCTACATACAGCCTTCGACCTACAGCCTTCGATTGGTTGCCATGGAGTCAGATTGCCTGCGAAATATGCAGAAATTGGTTCGCTTCGCAGTTGAAAGTTTGCATCAAGTGACTTTGGATACTGCTTGCAGTTCACTTCTTCTCTGCCTCGCCGTGCAGATAGCTCACACAATCTCAAGAAGGATGCACATGTAAAACGCAAAACGACAACTTCAAGAGGTGAGATGAACTGCAAACAACTGCAATCATTTAAGCACATTATGCCTTTTAAAGACGTTTTGGGAAAATGTTTTCCACATGTTTCAGGCCTGGCGACTGGCTTATTTTCCTCATCGACGAGCCATGTGGGCCATGCCCCTTCATTTGCTTCGAGTCGACTTTTGAAGTCGAACTGTGCAAAGCTCAGTCGAAGCAGTGAAGTGAAAAGCTAGTCAAGTCCAATCAAGCAGGAAGATGAGTCAGTCAACCCAGATGACCCAGAACTATCGAACAAATTGCCAGCTTTGTTTCGAGACAGACCGCTAGATGTAACAGGCCGAGCCTTTTGCCGCTTTTGCAGCTTCCAACATCTTTCAACTCTCCCAATGAAGCAGAGCTTGATTAAGAAACAGCCAGCGAAGGAATTGAGATATTCTCAGATCCTGATCTCGCCTGAATGCCATCATTACAAGACAACAAACCAAGCGCCTGCAGACCAGTTACCCTTCGAGGCCAAAGTGCGGATGTCGGCCGTTCAAAAAGCCAGTGGCTCGACAAAGGAAGTGCGGAGTCACGAATGCATTGCGGATCTTGGAAGACTTGGTGATGGTTGGTGATGTTTGACTCATATATGAGTCATAATATAAGCGTCATGCATCCTGTGGCAAATCATCTTCAGACTCTTGAGAGTTGCTGATGACTCACAGCCGCGAGGTAGCTCGATGGATTGTCCCACCGTGCCCTCCGCCGCAGAGCCGCTCAACTACCATGCAGCGGCACGTCAGGGCCGTCAGGCTCCTTTCCACAAAGATGAATGGAAGATAGATAAGATGATGATATCATGGATGAGTCAATCATTTCCGTATTGGTTGATATGTTAATATATGCATGTCATTCGTCCGAGTTCATCCAGGTTGAACTGTCATGTGAGACACACAAAAGGTGAGTGAATTAAACATGAGTCAAAGGTGATTCCAGGTTGCGGCTGGCAATATCAGAACAAGACCAGACAAGTACGTACAGCCCCTGTATGCCCCTGTCCAGTCCCCTGTCCTTGTTGGCAGGCTGAATATGGTGAGAGGTGGGGTGAGGGTGCTGCCAGATATTTCAGTATCGAAGCAGACTTCTTGGATGAGGCACTCCAGCTCAACGTTTTGATATGTATTTTGATTTTCTATTAGCAATAAAGGTAAGCTTGCTGGTCATTGTCTCACTCTGCCAGGATCAGAGCATCCGACTAATGCCTGTGCCTGAAAGTCATATGCTCAGCAGTTCAGATCCTAAATGATTGAAGACCTCCTTTTCTTGCTGAAAATCCCAGCTAAGCTGCACATTCGAGTGCAAACACTTTAGGCTTCTTTTGCCCCATCTCTGCGACCATTATGCCAGCAGCCAAGAACTTTTAAACTGTGTCCCATCGCATACTACCACAACATGAAAAGAACGTGTCGTTTTCCAAGCATGCTACTCTCCTGCCACGTTACAAGGACGTGGTCCTGGTTAAGAATGGTACTGGTGTCATTTGGGTGGTGAACAATTTGGAGTTCGTCGTTGGTCAAGGTATACAAGGTTCATCCTCATTACTATTACCAAGGAAGAAGTTGTGTTTTTGTGTTGTTTTTACTTATCCTCCAAGGAATGACCAGGGATGTTTTTGCAACTCACGACTCGTTTCGCTGGTCTGGGCAAGAAACAAGGAAGACGTAAAGGATCTATAAGGATTGGCAATCCGCGTGTCAAAATAACACACAGTCACCAAATTATAGGGATCCTTGTTAGGTGCTGGACTTGTTAGGATCCTTGTTAGGTGTCACCTCCTTGTTTGAGATCCTTTATAGGACTCTTGGAAACCCAACTTACACTGGCCAGTTAGTTGTTGGTCCTTGTATTTTTTGGCCAGATTTGGCCAGGCGAATTTCAGTCAGGTCGGATCCGGTGGCGACGGTGGATGGATGCGCCTACGAAAGAGACTACATTGAAAGGTCGGGACCACAAGAATTGACCGGATGCAAGGTATAAGTATAATAAGGAACATGCTTTGCAAAACTCAATGGCCAAGCCAGCTTTTGGTAGTGTTTGTTGAAGTTGGTATGCGTTGGTGCATTCTCTTGAATATTGCAAAGTAATATATAGGGGTTGGAATTTCCTCTACAAAATCGCGGGGATTGGGACCCCTAGAAAGCGATTTTTAAAGCCAGATGTTCTTGGTTAACATGGAGGCTTGTAAGTACCAACCTGGAATCTTCTCGATTTTATAGACAATTGTTGTTTTTTACAAGCTCGATTCCATAGAGGTGTTGAAGTGATGGTGCAGTGGATCTTGGTGCCTCAGGCATATTGATTCTATAGAGAATTGTTAGCATGGCTTTGCATGTCAGGGACTGCAATTCTATAGAGATTGATGTGTTATTTCAATTGTTCGAGTTCAAAACTCCCCTGATTCCGAGAATACGCAATTGGGATTGCTCAAAAGAACCCTGGGGAATGGACTCTTACCTGTCCATGACACCCCTTTTTTTCTCAATGGATTTGTGGTCCTACCAACTGGGGAATCAATGCCTTCCTGGGCAGTTGCACTTTTATGCGTTCTTCAGAACCTTGTACCTTGATTCTATAGAGACCAAGTTTCTCACTCCTATTGACAAACACCTGTTCGACGGTACCTCAGGATCTGCATTTTATAGAGCAAGATCCTCAATGCTCCCAGCTTTTGACAGACTCATGGTCCTCAATTCTATAGAGCTGACTCGTTGTTTTTGGACTCTTTTCCCATATCATTCTCAATTTTATAGGGTCAAAAAGTTGCAATTTTTTGAGGGGAGTTGGTCCCAGCATTTTAGTACTATAAAATCGCTGCCCCCGGGGCACCCACTTACTACCAACCCCTATGCAAAGTACTGATACAACATACATGGGCACTATTCGCTCCTTGGTCTTTTTTCTTCAGGTGGTTTAGAGAAAGGCGGCAATCCAACCAAGCCATCACTTCGCCGACGACAGGCGAAGATTCTGAATCACTGAAGCATTTACGTTCATTATTACTTGCATTTGCATGGTGAACGACTGCCCTTTGGCAACTTGATGCAACTCGCACGTCAGGCTTGCCTCTCCCGTCAACAACTCTGATGCCCTTGCTTGCCCTGCAGCGTGCCGCAGCTTTAGCATGCAGATTCATCATATTCAATTTGTAAATACACAATGTGATTGATTTCAATTTTGAAACTGATTAATGATGACACGGAGGGGCCCACTCAATGTGTATAGATGTGTCTAGTGACTATATATATATATATGATAAATATATGTGACTATTAACTATTATCCACTACGTTACTATACAGTAATGTTTGCTGAGTATGGGTGGGCAAACAAAGGGTTCGAGTGCAGCATGTGTTGAATCCTCCAGGACTCCATTGAATATAATACAGTTTTTTTTGTTTCGTCATTATGAGTTCCTCATCCGGGATGTTCGATGTTCTTTTTCCGAAGAACATGTAAGAACCCAGAACCAACATTCTGGTCAAACTTCAATAACTGTGACATGGACTGCTCTTAAGCCTGGAAGGTGTTCATTGGGTTGGTGTAAGTGTAAGCAACTTGCAACGATCCCCCTTCATATTTGGTCAGAGGGCGTTCGAGACTGAGGCCATTGAGGCTTATCTAGCACATCGGCCAGAGTTGAGGATGGTGTTTTCTCGGGAAAGCCATGCTAGTAGTAACAAGAAGCTACTAGAAACAAGTGCCACGCTAGTAGTAACAAGTGCCTTACTAGTAGTAACAAAGAAGCTAGTAGAAACAAGTGGGTCTACATTCCAGAAAGAGCATGTCTCGCTTCGGTCGAGTCAACGTTGGCCGCAAGGAAGAAGCGTTTGCGACACTAAAATCATCAAAGCAGCTAAATGGTATCCAGCAAACCACAACCTTCTATGAACACCCATCATTCCCCAAGCATTTCAATAGGATTTCACATTCTTTTTCTGCTCTAGTCACTTGCAGGAGAGATCACATGGCTGGGCGTTCCTTTGAGGAGGCGGCCCAGGTCTTGCAGGACCGCTGGTCCAATGATCCGTGTGGGACCTGGGACTTGAGCTTTTGGGGTCTGGAGCCATGGGGCGTGAGCCTGGTACAAAATCTTTTTTTTGCCTGGTAGATTGAACATACACCAGTACTTTTTCCAGCTCTAATAAGCTGGGAGAGGTGGATGTTTTAACATCTCGTTCTTGCTCTAGACACTTTGGATTCCAGTCCAATTCGGACCTGAAAAACAGTGCCAAGCTCCCAGTAGCTTCCTTGCTCCTAGTAGAAAGGCCAGGAGCCCCTAGTAGCGTCCTTGCTCCTAGTAGCGATTCCCTTTGCTCCCAGTAGCGTCCTCCAACCCCCCCCCCCCGTTCACTCTTCCCGTCCAACATGTTTGGCCGCAGTCTGACCTCTTGGAGAAGCAAGCAATGGCGACCAATATGGGCGATGAGGTTCGAAGATTACGAGAGGCCCACAAGGTGCCTGAGACATCGCCTGAGATTACGGACGGTCTGGTGTTCTTTTGCTTTATTTTTTTTCTCTTTGTTTGATCTATTGATGTTGCTATTTCTTGGGCTTCTTGCGAGCACACACCCTTTGCATCTCTTTTTATACAATGTAGCTTCGATACTTTTTCAAGTGAGAGGCTTTGCTGCGTCAGCTGCGCCAGTGTGAGGGCGACAAAGCTAAGCTGGTGCAGCAGCTACAGCAGGACCCTGCACTTTGGTTAGCTGCC